CAGTTTAAATCTAGATTAAAGACCCATCTCTTTAACCTGTCTTACACATAACACACTAACACATTTCTAATATTCAAATCCTTTAAAGGATTGTTAGGCTGCATTAATTAGGACAACCGGAACTAGGAATACTTCCTATAACACCCGATGTACTTGCTACATTGTTAAATAATGGCATCTACGCTAATATTAGTCTGTTTCTCTCTTATTTCGAGGTCACCGTAGCCACCAGATCCAGTCTGTATCCAGATCAGATGGTCACTGCAGTCACCCGGATCCAGTATTCAGTATTCAGCATTCAGACCAGATGGTGGATCAGCACCTAGAAAGGACCTCCACAGCCCTGAAAGACAGCGGAGACCAGGACAACTAGATGAGCCCCAGATACAGATCCCCTGTAAAGACCTTGTCTCAGACGACCACCGGGACAAGACCACAGGAACCAGATGAGTCCTCTGCACAATGTGAATTTGCTGCAGCCTGAAATTGAGCTGCTGGTTTTGTCTGGTCAGAGGAAAACTGGCCCCCTGACTGAGCCTGGTTTCTCCCAAGGTTTTTTCTCCATTCTGTCACCGATGGAGTTTTGGTTCCTTGCCGCTGTCGCCTCTGGCTTGCTTAGTTGGGGACACTTCATTTCCAGCGATATCGTTGACTTGATTGCAAATGATTGCAAAGATACTATTTAAATTGAACTGAGCTGGATGATGACATCACTGAATTCAATGATGAACTGTCTTTAACTAAAAAATTAGTGTTTACTATTGTCATTTTGCATTATTGACACACTATTTTCCTAATTAATGCTGTTCAGTTACTTGTGACTTGACTTGACTTGACTTGACTTAAAGGTGACTTGACTTGACTTGACTTGTCCTGGCCGGAGCGATCATTGTAGTCTACTCTTCCAGGATCAGGAAACAGTCCATGTGCTGCACACATCTGAATATTTGGGTTGAAGGGTCCTTGAACAGTGTTGTAAATACAACTTAACCACTGATTTCTAGTCGTGTCCATTTTTGGAAGGCCAAACAAAGTAGTTTCACTTTCACAACGACACACAGCGTCACACGCGGCAGGCTAGAGTGAGCGGCGGCTGGTGGGCTTGAGAACGGCGCGGCCGGCGGTCTTGCGACCACCACATGTGAAGACCCCGGGCTGTACTCCACTTCATCCACAGTGAAACCCGATCCGGCGATCCACAGCGCGAAGTTGATGTATTTCCTCAGCAACCAGCACGGATCAACTCCAGGCATGACGAAGCAGATATCGTTCTATTTTGGAAGGCCAAACAAAGTAGTTTAGCTTTCACAACAAAACACAGTGTCTTCACGACATGGCGCGGCGGAAACAACAATACTACAGCGAGAATAAAAGTTACGCCTTCTTTCTTTGCGCGAACATTTGGGCGGCATTATGCAAATCTTCCCACATAGTGACGTAGATATGTGGGGGCGTGTTAGAACGAGCCGTTTTAGGTAGCCGTGGCTGACTCTTAACTTTTATAAAGAATATCTCTTTGGATTTGAGACTTTAGTCTTTGCAACTTTACAGATCTTCTTTATGCACCAAGAGCTTGTAACACTCCAAAGAGAAAGGAAAAATTTAAATCGCATCATATGACCCCTTTAAGTTGATTTGAAGAACGTTATTTAACGAGAGGGAGTTTGGTTAAAGGGGCAGTTCAATTGATTTCTGATCTAAACATATCAAAACATAATTTTACAGCACTTTTAATACAACACAACAATGTGTCATCTTTCTCTTTGATAACAATTTCTCTTTTGCATCAAATGCGTCACAAATGAGAATATAAACTGAAAATCTCTAAACTGTTTTCCGTTATTCACTTTCCAACTCTTTTTCTATGATCTGAGCTTTACATTAAATATTTAAAATGTCAAAATTACAGAAAATAAGTCAAATAAATAAATTTGATCAAGACAGTAGTGATTGTGATGAACACTTGTACTTGTGATCATATATTACGCCTACTGCTTATTAATAAAATAACCAAAATACCATTTAATAGTAATTCATTTGGATTTAAATGGGATCAGTTCATAGCATAATACAATTTTAAATAACATTTCTACAAAAAAAGTATTTATAAAATTATTTACAAAATGTCAAATGATCACACTAGTTAGTAAAAAATGCCCCGAGACCCTAACATCCCTTAAGAAATGGCTCAATACATACTTCATTTGCAAGCACTTAATAATATTCATAACAATAAAACAGACACTTTATTTAAATAAAGGAAGTAATTTGTCTCCTTTCCAGCACTTTTCTGTCCTAGCTTTTGCACTGCTCTGATTTACTTTTGAAACTCATATTGCGGTACAATTGGCTCCTATATAATAAATTGCTTGTGAGTTTCCTCATTTGTTAGTCACTTTGGATAACAGCATCTACTAAATGATTAAATGTAAATGCATGAACTCTTACAGTAGTGAATGGTTAATCATTGTCATCTTTCATTAACTGAGCATGCTGTCGTTAATGTTGGTAGCGAACAGGTAGTCTCTGTATGCATAACTATAGTTCTGTTTAATGCTTCACTGAATCAAAACACCTCCCGTGACCTCCTCATTCACCGCTGCTTTTACCTCTTTTAGCTCTGCACTGGAGCTCTTCCGTCCACACTGAGGTTCACTGAGAGTTTCAAAGCAAAGAACATGAACATATTGAGGTGAACACTCCAGGTAATGTATTTGATTTAAGATTCTTCAATGGTTACTTGCCTTTGTTTTTCTTAGTTTTGCACTGAAATTTGTCTGCAAGCAGAAACAGAGAACAGGCTATGAATGTACAAGATTTCAGCTCCTCTCCAGGTAGCAAACACTCATAAATACACACAGGGTAATGCCTACCAAGGCAGGACTGGTTTTATTTGATGTCTGTTTGTGGTTTTGGATCATTGGGTTTGTGTGAGTAAATGATTGATTATGTTTGGCTTTGATCTTTCCTCTCACACACACACACACACACACACACACACACACACACACACACACCTCGAACTTGCTCTGACTCTTTCTGTTCACTAGTCATCCTACTCAGCAACTCAACTGATAATAGGCCTATATATATATATATACACACACAGAGAGAGAGAGACAGCAAGAAGCATTCCTTTATCTATTGTCACAGCTTTGTGGAATTATCAGGAAATAAAACAACAACAAATTAATTCCCCCCAAAATTCCAATTCGACACTTTTTCCAAAAGGGGGGTTTGCAGCAAATGCCATAGGACCATTTTTGGTTTCCCAAAGAACCTTTCAGTGAATAGTTCTTAAAATATTTTTTTTTCTATGTGTGAAGAACATTTGAATCATCTAAAGAACTTTTTCCACTATGAAGAACTTTTCATGCAGTGGAAAATTCGAAGATGTTAAAGGTTCTTCATGGAACCATTGATGCCAATAAAGAACCTTTCTTTTTTAAGGTGTATACATTTTTTTTGCCTTTATGGATCCGTAAATACTTATGGCATAGAATTTCCAATAGACCTTGGATTGATTTTGAAATACTGTGCACACAGGATCCCTAATAAATAAGAAAAAAAGACCACTCACCAGTTAAATCTAAAGAATTAATTTTTCAAATGAACTTCTGCAATACTCCGACATCATTAATAGTAATTAAATGACCAAAAAGGTTGCTGTTGAATTGACTAAATGTATAGGGCTGGTTAAATCAGGTCTATGTATGTGTGTACTTGCGTGTAAGTTTGTGAGCTAGCAGCTGCTGGTGCTTCTGAGACGAGAGTAAAACAGGTCAAGGTGATGAATCCAGAAAACACTCATTCTTCTCAGTAACACACAAACATTCTACCGCATCACATTTTAAAGGATTAGTGTGGGCAACCATGAAAATGCTCTTATCATTTACCCACTCTCATGGTGTCCTCCAAACTCCTGTTCTTTTCCATACAAAGAAGGCATATATAGGATCGGACAGAATGGTACTTTATTTAACCGCTGAAGAAAAACCGAGGCATTAAAGAACACATAAATTACACAAGAAATACAATACAATACAAAAATACAGAAAGAGTAATATGTGACCAGGGCCTGTCAAGCTTTCTAAAGGAAAAAAGTCATATGGACTATTTTTATAGTGCTATATATAATTTTATATTTTATTCATCCCCTTTATTTATTTATTTTAGTTTGACACCTACTGGCCACTTTATGCTTTCATTCAATGCAAAAGAGCATAATAATGGAACAATACTGAATTTACTCAAGTTGTTAATCACAGATTGAAAATCTGTTAAATTTATGGTTACCGCAGCTATGGTTGTCAGGACTTTACCGTAAAAAATATGATAGTTTTAAGGTTTCCAGATTTAACACTCCATTTGACACACAAACTATAGTGATCAAAAGGCACTTGTGTGTGCCTTGGAACATGAGCAGTATATCCCTGGTGGGGATATACTGCTCATGTATTGCAAAATTGTCAGTTGTCCCCAAACCTCCCTTTGGGGTCCTCAATTGGAAAATAATTCAGAAATAAAATACATAATAATTATAAGAATAATTAATTTCATTTGAAAAAAAATTACAAAATGTTTATTGTTTACTGTTCACGGCTTATCTATATACAAAACGGTCTCCAAAAATCAGTTAAATCTGACAAAAATCCATCAGGACATCTGCAGACATCTTCAATTGTATAAATAAATCAATAAATAAAATAAAGATATTTTAGAAATAGGGTTAAGTCATTAGTTGTGCATTATTATATTATATTACATTTTTTATAGATTTATTTTTAAAATAAATTAATACTTTTATTCAGCAAGGATGTATTTAATTGATCGAAACTGACAGTAAAAACATTTGTTACAAAATATTTCTATTTCAAATAAATGCTAGAACTTTCCATTCATCAAAGAATCCTGAAAAATTGATCACAGTTTCCACCAAAAAATGTGAAGCAGCACAACTGTTTTCAACATTGATAATAATAAGAAATATTTCTTGATCATCAACTCAATGATTTCTGAAGGATCATGTGACACTGAAGACTGGTGTAATGCTGAAAATTCAGCTTTGCGTCACAGGAATAAATTACACTTTAAAAAACTTTCACAGAAAACAGTCATTTTAAATTGTAATAATACTTCACAATATCACTATTAATCAAATAAATGCAGTATTGGTGAGCAAAAAAGACTTCTTTCAAATGTGCTCATTTTGACAGCTATATGTATTTAACATGTGAGTAAAATTTTAATGAGTAGTGAGGAAGTGAGAATGTGATTTTACTGTAATATGTGTGTGTGTTTGGTTCTCAGCAGTGCTGATGTCCAGCAGATGTATATCTTTGGCGACGGCGGTCCTGAACACTGACTGGTTGAGACACCGTTTCATGGAACAAGATGCTCAGCAGAGAGGACAGCATATATGTGTGTGTGTGTGTGAGAAACTCTCTCTCCCCCTCTGTGTGTGTGAGACGAGGATGTCTTGTGAAAGGCCCATCTGCCCTGGTGTCTGCCCACCAGTCATACTGCCAGCGCAGGCACTGCAGTGGACGCCTAAACTCTCTGTGACAAGGACCCCTAGAATGCAGAGTGCCACCCAGCATAAACAACACTGGCACTGCTCTCGCACATGACAGCCTGTATGTTTTTTGTTTTTTTTTACCTCTTCAGTGATATTTAGTTTTTAGAATAATTTCTGCTTAAATATAAATCATGTAATTTGCACCAATTTTTTCTTACAAATTGTATTTCGATTTTTTATAGTTTTTTTTTTCTTATGAAAATTTTTATGATGTGAATTACCACGGTGTATGACATGTGCTGGCCTAAAGCCTGTTTACTTCTTACAGGAATATTTCCAGGTTTTGATGCATTTAAACTCCCGCCATTAAAAAAAACAAAAACGGAGGAACTTACAATGGATGCTTACTAACCTTTTCCGAGTAAAGTTCTATCCAATTTTACAATTTTGTTTACATGAAGAATTATTATAAGTGCTTTTATAAAATCATAAGTTTTACATTTTTGCTTTTAAATCCTCCAAAAATGGTCCCTATTCACTTTCACTGTATCATCATAAACTCCTTTTTTTATAGACATGAAATGAGGTACAAGTCAAAAGATGTTATGAACATTAGAACATAGAACATTATGCTACAAATGCTACAGATTGAGTTTAAATTATATTGAGTGTAATCCATATTTAAAGAGACACGCAAAATGTACAAAATCTCATTTACACACCCTCACGTAGTCAAATCCATATGATTTTTTAATCTTTCTGTGGAACACACGCACACACACAAAGATTGATACAAAATTGATAACATGCATCAAACATCCTCCATAAAAATCCTATATATATAAGTTATAGAACTTCAACAATATCTACCTATTCGGTTTTGTCAGGTCAGTGGAACATATTAAGAATTTGAAGACAAAATAAATTCATTTCAAAATTACTGAATTATATATAGATTTAAAACATATAGATAGTAAAGTCAATCTAAACAGATCAATAAAGAACTTATTCTGATGTAACTTCTGTATTTCTGGCCTTTGTCCCATTTGGGAACCTAAAAACAATGAAAAGACCATAGCAGTATAATATCACATCAGTGTGGAGTGAAACTTTAAGCATTCTTGGAGAGTTTACAGAGTGTAAAATACAGTTTTCATCAAATTCAGAACTTGTGTGTATCAGAATGTGAGTCTCCAGTTAACTGGAATGTGATGTTGTCTTTTTTTCCTCTTCTTTATGTGTGTGTGTGTGTGTGTGTGTGTGTGTGTGTTTGTGAAAGCGAAACTACTTTGTTTGGTCTTCCAAAAGAGGACGATATCCGCTTTGTCATGCCTGGAGCTGTTCCGTGCTGGTCGCTGAGGAAATACATCAACTTAGTGCTGTGGATCACCGGATTGGCTTTCACCGCTTTCACCGCTCCTTCGCCGGGACTGCCGTTCTAGACCCCGCCGCCTCAGCTCACTCTTGCCCGGTTTCAGCTCACGCTAAGCCGGGGCTTTCGCTCACGCTAGGCCGCTGTGTTTTTCGTTGTGAAAGCGAAACTACTTTGTTTGGTCTTCCAAAAGAGGACGATATCCGCTTCGTCATGCTTAGAGCTGATCTGTGCTGGTCGCTGAGGGAATACTTCAACTTAGTGCTGTGGATAGCCGGCACATTTTATGGAGGACTGTTTACTGATCCTGGGAGAGTAACGTTAGACTAAAATGCCGGCAGTTCTGACTCACGTAAGTAAGTTTTCTTTTATCATTTGCCACTGATGATTCAAACGTGAGTTTTGGGCAGTGTGGAGTGGCACTTGTTGTTTGTCATTTCTTCAATCACAAATGCAGACAGGGTTTTATGTTCGCGAGGCACAATGCAATGCAACGCAACACGTAAAAAGACAGTATAAGTCATTATAATCAGTAACTATCCCTACTGGATGCAACAAATGCCTCGTTTGTAATGGGTTTGTAATGGCTCCGGCTCGACAGGGCATCATCACAGTATGGTGAGGGGCGTAACCTTTCCATCTCACGCTTGAGGTATTCGGCCAATCACAATGCACTGGATAGCTGGCCAATCACAGCACACCTCACTTTTTCAGACCGATGAGCTTTGTAAAAATCGACGCGTTTCAGAAGGCGGGGCATAGAGGAGAAACAATAATGTACAGTATGTGGAAAATAATGTGTTTTTTGAACTTTAAACCGCATAAACACATTTCATTACACCAAATACACAAAATAATGTTCTTTTTAGCAGCATCATATGACCCCTTTAATGCATTGCTTAATAAAAGTATTAATTTCTTTCAAAAAACAAACAATAATAATAATGACCTCAGCATTTTAAACGGTAGTACGGGCATTGCCATAAAGTGAAATTAACACTCACAAAGTTGCAACATAGCCTACTACCTGTAGTACAGAGTCGTTCTCAATCACGTGCTGTTGACCTTCCTAATGGCAAATGATACAACGCTTTTCAGTATTCGGTTTCACGATTCGGGCATCGCTAGTTCTGATTCAGAAAATATGAGACATGACACGACTGGTGAAATATCACGAGGGAAAGGATTCTCAGGTCAGTAAATAATCTTAGTAAATCTTACTAGGGCTTCCCAGGTAGCATACGTACGTCTGCAAGATGACTGTTAAAGATCTCTTCATCTGGAAAGCATCTGCTGTGTACAAACATCTGATAGACATCTATAAGATGACAGGTTTACATATATTCTAAAGCATAAACATCAGGCCCGGACTGGCCATCGGGAGCACCGGGAGAATTCCCGGTGGCCTGGCGGCTGATTTAGCCCGCTGCCCTGGTTTTTTTTATTTTATTTTATTATTATTAATAATACTATTTTATATTTATGCCTTCTCAATGTACCAAAGTGATAATTTCCGATTTTTTCATTCGATTATGAATCGATAATAAATCATATATATATGATATATCGGTTAATATATAATATATAACCGATATATCGGTTAGTCTTGATTGGCAGCGCTGCGCTATACGAATCTACTCACGTTTGTTTCGCGCTTTCGTCAAACGATTCCGAACAGAACCGATGCGCGGGACTCGATGAAAGAGGAAGCGGCCAGAAGAAGCAGTGAAATGTAGCAACATCACTGACATGTTCAGGGTTTCAAGTGCAGGTCGGTTTCATCTGTAAATACGCTAGATAGTTTTGTCTTTATTAACCTAGTTGAGTAATAAACTGCTAGTATCTGTTAGGCTATCAGTAGCACCCCATTATTATCATCATTCAGAATACTGTGCTAAAGGACATCAATATCGATTGTAAAGTTACATAAATTTTTTTTAGCAGAGACAGATATTCACATGGATTTATTTGTACAGGGCAGGAGGGAGCTAGAGACAGCAACACAAAAATAATATGAGTCACAGCCTATAATTCAATAGTGTGTTCAGTATTAGAATATTTCAACAAATATGTTGTACAAATTTTGACATTTAGGCACTTTAGAAAATGTTTTAATACACAGTCAAAAGGTTTTGATCAGTAAGATTTTTTATGTTTTTTTTTTAAAGAAGTCTCTTCTGCTCACCAAGCCTGCATTTATTTGATCCAAAATACAGCAAAAACAGTAACATTGTGAAATATTTTATTTATTTGAATATATTTTAAAATGTAATTTATTCCTGTGATTTCAAAGCTGAATTTTAAATCACTTGATCCTTCAGAAATCATTCTATTATGCTCATTTGCAGCTCAAAATACATTTAGTATTAGTATTATTATTACGTTGAAAACAGTAGATTTTTTTCAGGTTTCTTTGATGAATAGAAAGGCTATCAGTAGCACCCCATTATTATCATCATTCAGAATACTGTGCTAAAGGACATCAATATCGATTGTAAAGTTACATAAATTTTTTTTTAGCAGAGACAGATATTCACATGGATTTATTTGTACAGGGCAGGAGGGAGCTAGAGACAGCAACACAAAAATAATATGAGTCACAGCCTATAATTCAATAGTGTGTTCAGTATTAGAAT